ACTTCACTCCTGCTGTGATGCTACTGGGAATGATGAAGACATTGCTGGGCTTTGAATTATACGGCTTGCATCTCCATCTGGGCTCATGGTTTGTCTCACCATTCATGGTTTGTTTAGGGGAGACAAACCACAAGTCTTGGTTTGGATGTATTGCTAAGCCAAGCCATGGTTTAGCTCCTGGTGTCATGGCGGCAGTGGGACCAGGGCAGGAGTGAAGTAGCTACAGTTTTCTAAATGTGCCCAAGCATGCTTTCTCATTCATGTTAAACCATAGTTAGGCTCAGCATTATACACAACTGGAGCCCAAGGTTTTGGCATAAGGCTGGATCCCTCTTGCTGTTCTGGCTTCTGAGATTCAGAATATTTTTTTTCTTGTTTTCCTCCTCCAAAAACTAGGTGCGTCTTGTGGTCTGGTGCGTCTTATAGAGCGAAAAATACGGTACTTTCCCACCCTGCTGTACAAACCTGAAAAGTCAATTTTTATAAAAGTACCTCTTTGACCACCGGTAGCACAGCTGTCCTTGCCCACAGCAATTCAAACCAGGTATCCTATGTCCTCCAGACCTTTTCATAATCATGCCCTCTCTGAAAGCAAAGAGCAGAGAGAGAAAACATTGCTTTAGCAAGCACTTGGAAGAAGCAATAGTTCGCAACCTGTTGCGAAGAGAAGTCTATACGCAAAACCTGTCTCACCACTACTGAAGACTTTTGAGCCAGATTACAGTCATACAAGAAGACTTTGATGCAATCCCATTTTACATACCAGAAATGATCTCCAATAGGGGATTCCATTTCCTAACAATTTCCATAAAGGGCTTGCCTTTAATGTGTTCCTGTTTGTTCAGGTGAACAGCTTCCTAGTCGAAGGGCCCCTGCAGACTGGGGTTTGTTTGCATTTTTGCATGCGTATTATGCAACATGTCCCTGATACAACAGTAGTACTGAGCTGTCTGCACATCATTTTGATTGATTAGCTGTTCTGCAATGCTTCCCCAGCGTTACCGCATGCTTGCTGTCTGGAGGGGGGCAGCACATGCACCCCGAAACTTCTGCAGGCACAGTCTTGAGAAAGAGGCCTCCACTTGGTCTATGGGCAAAGGGCAGGATATATGTTTTAGAAGCAAGGAAACAACGAAACTTACATGCCCTTCGGTCCAAGATCATGGATAAATGACAGCTGACTTACACCAAGGAATTCCAGCTGAAAATGCAAAAAGGACACCTATTATATGAATGCAAAAGTCCAGAAAATAGTTGAAGGTTTGGGGCACTTTTTTTGGGGGGGGTACCTTACTACCACCACCCTGTGAGTTTGTGATGGGGACAAGAAGTCTGTACGTGGCTTTGCTTTTGAACCCATCCTTATCCTACTTCAGACTAACAATGGCCTGGCAATACTAATAACAATACTACTACTAATAATACCTTTATTGTCAATGTACAACCTGTGTACAATGAAATTAACCGAGCCTCCCCCCCCCCCAAACACTCAGTCTTATTGCTCTGTGTGCTTGTTACACAACACACCAACCCCGAAGGTCAGTTGCACTATATTATTTTCCATTCAGCAGCCTAAAAGCCCACAGATAGAAACTGTTTTTTAGCCTGTTGGTACGACTGATTATACTTCTATATCTCCTGCCCAAGGGTAGAAGATTAAAAAGGTGCTGGCCGGGGTGTGAATCGTCCCTGATATTTTTTCTCGCTCTCCAAAGGCAACAATCCCTTGCAATGTCATCTAGTGGGCCCATGATATCATGTGCTGTGTTCACCACCCTCTGTAAAGACTTTCTGTCCGTGGCTGTCAAGCCAACATACCACACTGTGATACAACATGAGAGGACACTTTCTATTGTGGACCGGTAGAAGGAGATAATCATCTGTTGTTTAACATTGTTATTTTGCAAGACCCTGAGAAAATGGAGTCTCTGTTGGGCCTTCCTAACCACCTGAGTTATATTGTTTTTCCAAGTGAGGTCTTCACTAAGGTAAACTCCCAGGAATTTAAAGGAAGAGACTCTCTCCATACAACCCTCCCGATATACAATGGGGCTAGTTCCCCTCTCTTCCTCCGAAAGTCCAACACCATCTCCTTTGTCTTGCTAATATTTAAAGATAAAGGTAAAGGGACCCCTGACCATTAGGTCCAGTCGTGACCGACTGTGGGGTTGCGGAGCTCATCTCGCTTTATTGGCTGAGGGAGCCGGCGTACAGCTTCCAGGTCATATGGCCAGCATGACTAAGCCGCTTCTGGCAAACCAGAGCAGCACACGGAAACGCCGTTTACCTTCCCGCCAGAGCAGTACCTATTTATCTACTTGCACTTTGACGTGCTTTCAAACTGCTAGGTTGGCAGGAGCAGGGACCAAGCAACGGGAGCTCACCCTGTCACAGGGATTCGAACCGCCGACCTTCTGATCCGCAAGTACTAGGCTCTGTGGTTTAACCCACAGCGCCACCCGCGTCCTTGCTAATATTTAGGTGCAAGTTATTCTCTAAGCACCATGTAAATACTGAACCTTGAACCTCACCCCTGTACATCTGGATTTGCCTCATGAATCCAAGCACACATTGCATTCTGAACTGGAGATTCCAATGAAGGCAGTGCCAACAGTGTCTTCTATGGCAGAGATGAATGCATGCCGGGTCAGAACATTGATCCAATATTATCTACCCTGACTGGCCCTGGCTGTCCAGGGTCTCAGGCAGATGTCTTTCCCACTGCCTTACCCTTTTAACTAGAGGTGACAGGGATTGAACCTGGCACCTTCTACATGCAAAGTGCTACCACTGAGCTATAGTTCCTCCCCACAAGGTATGTTCTGTAGCTGTACAGATCTCAGGACATTGTGTAGCATTTTTGTATACATGAATTTTTGCGTTTGGCAAAAACCTTATATAACGAAAGTTAAAGTGCATTAGCTCTCAAAAACAAACAAACAGGGTTAATCTTTTTCCACAATCTGAAGTCAGTGGTCATTTTAATAATGCACTGGGTGCCCAGGTCTCAGTACTAGGATAGAAGAAGAGAAGAAGTATGGTTTGGTATCGGGAAGTTGAAACCACAAGATTTTATTTTTTCTCTCACAGCAGTGATTGAGAAAAGTAACTTGTGCTAAGAGTCATCAGTGTTATCATCATTTAAATCTTGCATTTTATCTTTAGCACATTACTTTGTTCATTTTTTAAAATGAAAAAGATGTATGTATGTGTGTGTGTGATTTTTTTTATGGCTGCCATCGGGGATTAGGGAGAATTTGGATTCAGCTTACCCTGAAAAATGAATCTACCTAATTCAGATTTGTCAAAACAATATGCAAATTGAAGCACAGTCATCCTTCAAAACTGGCACGTCTCTGAATTTTGCAATACAGCTCCCCAGATAAGTAATGTGTATAAAAATGCATATACAAGGATAAAACGTCCCTTAAAAGGCATATATATTAGTACAATAGCTAACAAAAAAGCATTCTATTAGGGAAAATTACTTGGGGAAAATATGTATATTATGCAAAATTGCATTAAACCATTTTTCAGAGAAGTATGCACCGAAATGCAGATGAATTTTCATGATTTATTTATTTTTAATTGCAAACCAATGTGGAAATATGGAGGATTGAAGCTAAGATTTCAAAAATGAGAATCAGGGAGAATCAGAAACATTCACTCATCCCTAACTGCCAGAGGCATTTATTTCAAAGTAAGGCTCTGCTTCTGCAGATTTTCAGGTCTCTCAAATTGTGAATGTTACCCGAGCAATCATTAGGAGCAACACAGAATGCCTTTAAAACCTGCAGGTTTCCATCACCAAGAAATGCCATATAGAGAGGATAACTACATCTTCTGTGTCTGTGCTTGAAATTTGACCCTCTCCCAGCTGTCCTCAGAAAGGCCCAATAACCCACTCAGGTTTCTGAATGATCTGTGGCAGGAATAGCCTAGCTATGCAGCAGAGGAATGTGGAGGATTTGGTATCAATGCCTATTGTTGCATCAAAAGAACATCGAGGAGGGATCAAGTGAAGGGAGAAGGGATAATGCAATGCAAACAAACAAACAAACAGCAAAGTGACAGCTGTTAGGTGCAGATAAACCCAATGGACCTTTTGTGCCCATTGACTGCACAAGTCAGATTCTTATAAGCCAAAACTGAAGGAAAACTTGATGCAATGTGGCACTAGCAGCAGGCCTCGTTTTCTGGCAGCTATTTCCTTCATGTTCCATTTATGTGGGAAACAAATATGGTAGCTCTTGTTAGCACCTATGGTATATTTTTGAAAGCTGCTTATTTTTTTGCTACCTCTTAAGATGTTGAAACCAAATTCTGCCTGATGGTTCCTGAGACCAAGAAACACATTTTGGATCTGTGCTTGGATACAGTTGGGCGCCATTTTGAATCAAGATAGTGGGCTGAACCTTACAAAACTGTACTGATTCTTTCGGTTTCTCAGAATTTCTGTGCAATGCCGGGTATGAGGCTGCTACAGTTAATATTGTATGGTCAGAACCCAAAGAACCACCCCTCTAGTTCGAGGAAGCTTCTGTTTTGTTTTCAGCTTCTATTTTGAAAACATTAGGAACTGCCTGCACACAGTAAGCCACTTTTGAAACCATGGAGAATTTAGCCCTCCCCAATAATAATAATTTATTATTTATACCCCACCCATCTGGCTGGGCTTCCCCAGCCACTCTGGGCAGCTTCCAAAAAATATTAAAATACTGTAATACATCTAACATTAAAAGCTTCCCTAAACAGGGCTGCCTTCAGATGTCTTCTAAAAGTCTGGTAGTTGTTGTTCTCTTTGACATCTGGTAGGAGGGTGTTCCACAGAGAGGGTGCCACTACTGAGAAGGCCCTCTGCCTGGTTCCCTGTAACTTAGCTTCTTGCAGTGAGGGAACCGCCAGAAGGCCCTCGGAGCTGGACCTCAGTGTCCGGGTGGAACGATGGGGGTGGAGACGCTCCTTCATCTGGTCCAACCCCTTGTGATGCAGGAATCTTTTTCCCAACATGGGGCTCAAACCCACAAACCTGAGATTAAGAGTCTCACGCTCTACCGACTGAGCTATCCCAGGATGAAACTAAATCAAAATCACAGGAAAAACAAGGAAAGATATTCTCTCTCTCTCTCTCTCTCTCTCTCTGTGTGTGTGTCTTTCTGCAAGTGAGTGATGGCAGGAGATAGCCTGTGTCTCAGAAGTCAAAAGATACAGAGGCCAGTAGACTCTGGCCTGAAATGACCTCCTTCACATATTTTAATTCATCTCTGCTACCAAGACTAGCCTTCATTTAAGATGCGTTAGAGAAATATTCCCCACACAATGCACGACCCTTGAAAAACGTTGCCAGATCTAAAGAGGGAGGTGCGGCTGTCTCTGTGTGGCAGCACACACAAGAACAGAACTTTAGACAAAGCATTATGTACTTTAAGCTTCTCCAATGACTCAACATTTATGGGCGCCAAGTTGGTATAGCATTGCTTCTAAGAGCAAAAGGTAATTATATTATTACACATGCACGCTAATCTAAGCCTACATATACTGCAGACTTGTTGCAATAACTCCAGAACTCCACCGGATCAGGCCAAGGGTCCATCGAGTCCTGCAATTGCTTTAAAACTATTCATATATTTCATTCGATTTATGAATCGCTTCCTATGAAATCTCTCAAAGGGATTTCAGCTGCCAGACTTATGGGAAGATCACTAGCATAGAATGTAAACAACCATTTGCCATGTAGGGATGGGCAGATCTGTCAACTTGGTTTCTCCCAATTTTTTCAATCTTAGAATCATAGAATCATAGAGTTGGAAGAGACCACAAGGGCCATTGAGTCCAACCCCCTGCCAAGCAGGAAACACCATCAGAGCACTCCTGACATATGGTTGTCAAGCCTCTGCTTAAAGACCACCAAAGAAGGAGACTCCACCACACTCCTTGGCAGCAAATTCCACTGTCGAACAGCTCTTACTGTCAGGAAGTTCTTCCTAATGTTTAGGTGGAATCTTCTTTCTTGTAGTTTGGATCCATTGCTCCGTGTCCGCTTCTCTGGAGCAGCAGAAAACAACCTTTCTCCCTCCTCTATGTGACATCCTTTTATATATTTGAACATGGCTATCATATCACCCCTTAACCTCCTCTTCTCCAGGCTAAACATGCCCAGCTCTCTTAGCCGTTCCTCATAAGGCATTGTTTCCAGGCCTTTGACCATTTTGGTTGCCCTCCTCTGGACACGTTCCAGCTTGTCAGTGTCCTTCTTGAACTGTGGTGCCCAGAACTGGACACAGTACTCCAGGTGAGGTCTGACCAGAGCAGAATACAGTGGCACTATTACTTCCCTTGATCTAGATGCTAGACTCCTATTGATGAGGCCCAGAATTGCATTGGCTTTTTTAGCTGCCGCGTCACACTGTTGGCTCATGTCAAGTTTGTGGTCAAGCAAGACTCCTAGATCCTTTTCACATGTACTGCTCTCAAGCCAGGTGTCACCCATCTTGTATTTGTGCCTCTCATTTTTTTGCCCAAGTGCAATACTTTACATTTCTCCCTCTTAAAATTCATCTTGTTTGTTTTTGCCCAGTTCTCTAATCTGTCAAGGTCGTTTTGAAGTGTGATCCTGTCCTCTGGGGTGTTAGCCACCCCTCCCAGTTTGGTGTTGTCAGGGGTTCAGGAGCAGAGGCACAGGAAAGGGAGGAAATAGAGAGCGAGGGGGAGGAGTCCGAAGGAAATGTTAGCGATGACAGCGGTCCGAGGTCTCTGAGTCTTTCCAGCGAATCGGAAGATTCACAGAAAGGGGCTCCCTTGGTCAGAGCAAGGGGGTGCCGAGGGGGACACCCCAGGAAGAAGGGGCCAGAGGGGACTCAGAGAGCAGCAGTTGGAAATCAGGACCAGCGTCCACACCAGAGTGCAGTAGGGGGGAGGAGTCCCAGGCATCGGGATCAGGCGGCGCACATTCCAGGGGTTCACCTCGGACGAGGAACCGGCACTAGAAACACGTTCCCCGGAGGGATCACCCTCGGGGTCTGCCTCAGACCGTTCCTATTGGTGGGACAATCAACCAGAGGAGCAGTGGCGCAGGAAGTGGTTGGGGGGTCCTTGGCAGGCAACGTCCCCGGAGGAGACCGGGGAGAGACGGACATGGACGTGTTGGGGAGGACCTTGGGTTCGAGCACGGCGGCAAAGAGATGGAAGCAGAGGAAATTGAGGTCGGCAGAGCACGGAGGACGAGCCGGACTTATCCGGCTGGATGCACGCCACGGGGACGAACTGTATCCGGCACTCACCCCCACAACGACGGAGCACCCAGTACCCACACCTGAAGGAGGGGAGGGGGAAGGGGGCTTCGAGGGGGATGGATGTCAGGGGTTCAGGAGCAGAGGCACAGGAAAGGGAGGAAATAGAGAGCGAGGGGAGGAGTCCGAAGGAAATGTTAGCGATGACAGCGGTCCGAGGTCTCTGAGTCTTTCCAGCGAATCGGAAGATTCACAGAAAGGGGCTCCCTTGGTCAGAGCAAGGGGGTGCCGAGGGGACACCCCAGGAAGAAGGGGCCAGAGGGGACTCAGAGAGCAGCAGTTGGAAATCAGGACCAGCGTCCACACCAGAGTGCAGTAGGGGGGGAGGAGTCCCAGGCATCGGGATCAGGCGGCGCACTGCCAGTGGGAGGACATGAGTCAGGATTGGCCACGCCTCCATCGGGGAGCGAGGAAACGGTCGAGAGGAAGGTTGAAGGCTGGGCGCGCGCGCAAGTTCAAATGTACAGGAGGGCGGCGCAGTTGGCAGCCCGGATAGGGAGCCAGGTCCCAAAGCCCGCCGAAAAGAGGGGGAGGAGTCAGGGGGTCAGCGTCAGAAGAATCCAGGAAGGAAGGGACCCGGGGGTAGCAGGACCCAGAGGAGAAAGGAGAGACGTAAGAGGTGGAGTAAGGCTAGAATCTTAAACTGGTGTACAGGGGCGGAGACTCAGATGGAGCTTCGCCGATCTAACCCCTAGACGTAGAGCTGGGGCGCTCCGGCTTGAAAATGGAAACTGTACTTCAATAAAGACTTTTGTACATTACTGCCGGCTAGCGTTGGTCCTCTGTGAGCTGGGACCTGGAGCCAGCTCTGACAGGTGTCATCTGCAAATTTGATCAGGATGCCCTTGAGTCCATCATCCAAGTCTTCAGCCTCTTCACATTTCTACATCTGTCTGTGATTTTTTTTAAAAGCCCTTGTGAAGATTAATCAGCATTCTAGTGCTAATTTCTCTTGATATGCACATTTTGTATGCAATTTGGTGGAACCACGGTTTAGTCTGCCAAGCTAAGACCTACTCTCAGAGAACAGTTATCAGGAAACCCAAGGAAGGGCTCTTATTTGCCTTGAAAACAGAGAACTTTAAGAGGTACGAAGCTGCCTTTATCAAGGCTGGCTAAGTGCAGATGTTCATGCTCAACCATAGTTAGGGAAAACAAACTATGGTTAAGTTGATGCTCGCACAGGGTCTAAAATCTGTCCCGCTCCAAGTATTCTGTGCAACATGGAAAGAGATCCTGGAGTGCATCCCTAGAAGCGTACTTGCATGACTTGTATAACTGCAGTCTTTAGTAAATGAATCAGATATATTAATCAGTTAGGCATGTTCTGATTCTCAAAAAAAAAAAAAAAAATAGATTTATCCGGAAGCACACTTTAAAAAAACATTTACTTGTGTTACTTATATTTAATCTTAATATTTACAAAAATCTGTAGACAGCAAAAGGTGTTCTCTTTTCATTTCACGCAGAAGGGAATACAGTGGTACCTTGGTTCTCAAATGCCTTGGTACTCAAACAACTTGGAACCCAAACACAGCAAATCCGGAAGTAAGTGTTCCGGTTTGCGAACTTTTTTTGGAAGACGAATGTGCTTTGTTTTGAGGGCCACACTTCCGTTTTGAGTGTTACACTGAGATCTATCTGTTTTTGCTATTTATTTTGCATTTTTGTGGCTCTTTTTTGTTTTGTTTTTGTGACTATGTAGAACCTAGTTCAGCTGTTGATTGATTGATTGATTGATTGATCGTGTGACTGCAGTACATTGTTTACTGCTTTCAATGGTCTCGTTAGATAGTAAAATTCATGTTAAATTGCTGTTTTAGGGGTTGTTTTTAAAAGTCTTGAATGGATTAATCCATTTTGCATTACTTTCTATGGGAAAGTGCGCCTTGGTTTTGGAACGCTTTGGTTTTGGAACGGAGTTCTGAAACGGATTAAGTTTGAGAACCAAGGTACCACTGTACCTCTTCTGTGATGGCTCCTAGCGCAACCTACACATCAGGTGGGTGCAGAGAATGTGGTGCTGTTCGGATGTTGTGGACTACAACTCCCATGACCCCAGCCATGGGATGATGGGATTTGTAGTCAGCAATTTCTGGAGGGCACCATATTAGCTACTATAGCTCTGCCTTCCATGCATCTTCTGTAACCAAAAGCAATATACAATTTCTATTGATATGAAAAATTTATGCAGATTGAAACCAATTAAAAATAAATTAAATACACTGAAACCGATACAATTGGCTAAAACTTCTTCTTTTTTTAACCAAGCAGCACCACAGGCTGCGTGTGCAATTGCTGTACGACCCTGGAAGAACTTTTGTAAACAGCTTTGAGCTGTTGTTGTTTTTCTACAATCAAGCAGTATACAAACATTATGAAATAAATAATAAAATAAATAAACTTAGCAAACAAAAGCAAAGGGAAGAGGCGCATGTCACGGTTCATCACTTACCGTTCCGTGATAGTTTCTGTACAACGGCATTTTTAGGAGGTTTGTTAAGTAATCTTCCAGTTGTTTCTGCAAGGCAAACACAAAATACTCTACTGCATCTCATTTCTTACTTGGCTTATCATTGCTTTTCAGAATCAGAAAAGTCCAAGCAGTACAAACAAGCAAGTCTCCATTTGAACTAGCAACCTGAACCTAGCTGTTGCTCTCCATCATGAGAAAAAGGGGGCAGGAGTGGAAGAAGGAAATGGAGAGGAATGATTAATAGCAGGTGTCGAATGAATGAAGGGGAAAAGGAAAGAGAAAGAGATCTCAGGCGCCAGGGCAAGTGTT